AAAAATACAGGGTAGCACAACATTTTACAGAAGGTTAGCACAACATATACAGAGGGTAGCACAACATAAATACAGGGTTAGCACAACATATACAGAGGGTAGCACACACATAAATACAGGGTAGCACAACATAAACAGAGGATAGCACCACAAATACAGGGTAGCACAACATATACAGAGGGTAGCACAACATAAATACAGGGTAGCACAACATATACAGAGGGTAGCACAACATAAATACAGGGTAGCACAACATATACAGAGGGTGTGTAAAATACAAAGATACACAAATAACCCGCACATAAAAGAGAGAAGCTTACGACGACGTTTCGGTCAGACTTGGACCATTGACAAAGTCACACTAACCAGAGGTGGAGCAGGACGGCTATATATAGGCAGGAAGAGGAGGAGGTGGTGGTAGTGGTGGTGGTAGTAGTAGTTGTAGTAGTAGTAGTAGTAGTTGTAGTAAGTAGTAGTAGTAGTAGTAGTATAGTAGTAGTAGTAGTAGTAGTAGTATGTAGTAGTGGGTAGTAGTAGTAGTAGTAGTAGTAGTAGTAGTAGTGTAGTAGTAGTAGTAGTAGTAGTAGTAGTAGTAGTAGTAGTAGTAGTAGTAGTAGTAGTAGTAGTAGTAGTAGTAGTAGTAGTTTAGTAGTAGTAGTAGTAGTAGTAGTAGTATTTGTAGTAGTAGTAGTATAGTAGTAGTAGTAGTAGTAGTTGTAGTGTAGTAGTAGTAGTTAGTATTTAGTATTTAGTAGTAGTTAGTAGTAGTAGTAGTAGTACAAGGGTTGTATATAATACCGACAAGATGAAATCAAGACACATGCACAACACCCGGGCATCCCCATCATAAACGTCCACAACAAAGACAACCAGACGCCGCACATATGTTTCTCAATTTCATCAGTAGTTGTAGTAGTAGTAGAAGAAGAAGAAGTAGTGGTAGGGGTTTAGAAGTGAGAAATAAAAAGGACGAGCCAGTCAAATACAAAGGAAGGGGAGCACTGCAAGAGAGCTAGATGCCCACAGAGGGAGAGCAAGCGCACAGAGGTGCGTGAAAGGGAAGTGGTGAAATAAATGAAGGAACAGAAACACGAGACAGGAAAGAGAAAGACAACCCAGAGGAGAAAAGGAAAGAGGAAAGGGGAAGAGGAAGAAGAAGAAAAAGAAAAAGAAAAAAATGAGTAATCAGGTTAAGTCACGGGTGTTCTGAAGTTTGGAGTATTTTACAATGTAGTGGAAGAGGAAAGCATCTTCAGAGACGAAGCCAGGGCTAAGGTTCATACAAGGAAAGTTGTGTATTAGTGAAGATTCAACTAGACGGCGACTGTTTGAGTTGGAAGTAGGGAAGACAGTTTTAGCAGAAGACCAGTCAATAGGATGGCTATGATCTCTGACGTGACAGAAAAGAGCATTGTTAGTGTCGGCAAGCCTAACACTATTTTTGTGCTCCCTAAGTCTGTCAGAAAGAGATCGACCAGTTTCTCTGAAGTATTGAAGAGGACAGGAGGAGCAAGAAATAGAGTAGACACCAGGAACATCTGTAGAGGGAGGAGAGGTATGAACGAGATTAGTGCGAAGAGTGTTAGTCTGGCAGAAGGTAAGCTTGATGTCTAAGGGACGGAGAGAATTGTTGAGATTAGAAAGACCGGAAATGTAGGGAAGGCAGAGGATAGAAGAGTTCTCATGAGTAGAGAGTTTAGGAGAGAAGAAATTGCATTTAGCACATGAGAGGGCAGAGTCTATGAAATGGGAAGGGTAGCCAAGACGGGAGAACGAATTATGAAGAGTGGAAATTTCTGCTGGAAGGAACTGAGGATCACAGATGCGGAGGGCACGGCGAAAGAGGGAGATAAGAACACTTTTCTTGACAGGGGAAGCATGATAGGAAAAGTAGTGAATGTACATGCCACTGTGCATAAGTTTACGGTAAACGGAAAAGGAAAAACCTATATCTGAGTGGTGGACATGGACATCAAGGAAAGGAAGCAAGGAATTAGATTCTCATTCAGCTTTAAACTTAATGGAAAGGGCAAGATTATTAAGAGCTTCAAGAAAAGGTTGGAAGAGACTGGAGTCATGAGGCCACAGAGCAAAGATGTCATCCACATAGCGGAGCCAGAGTGAAGGTTGCACATTGAGGGTAGGAAGAAGAACAGTCTCGAAGTATTCCATGTAAATATTAGCAAGGACAGGAGAGAGAGGAGAGCCCATAGCAACACCGAAGGCTTGAGAATAATATTTCCCTTGGAAGGAAAAGGAGTTAGAGTCCACACAGAGGCGGATCAGATCAAGAAAGACATCAGTGGGGGATAGGGAGATGAAGAAACCCTTCATGGGCCTTCTCTCTAAGGAAATCAAGGACATCATCAAGAGGGACATTGGTGAAGAGGGACTCAACGTCAAGACTAAGCATCTTACAGGTTGGGAGAGAGCGAACCCGTTCAATGAAGTCTTGAGAGTGACGGAGGTGGGCAGGAGAAAAAGTACCAAGAAAGGGAGTGAGGAGTGAGGGTTTTGGCCAGCCAAGAAGCAAGAGAATAAGAGACAGAACCTCTAGAGGATATGATAGGACAAAGAGGAATATCAGGTTTAGGAGTTTTGGGAAGGCCATAGAAATAGGGAAGAGAGGGACAGATGACACGAAACCGTTGAACAAGGTCAAAGTCAGGAGGACAGAGGTCGGAGAGAGTCCTTAGTTTTTTGTTGAAAGTTCTCTTGATGCGATCAAGAGGGTTGGAAACGAGAGGAGTGTAGGTGCGCGAGTCAGAGAGCAAGACATCAGCTTTACGGAGGTAATCCTCGCGATCAAGGATAACTACCGAATTACCTTTGTCAGAAGATAGTATGACAATGTTAGTGTTGGATTTAAGAGAAGAAAGGGCAAGTTGGTAACGGCGTGGAAGGTGGTGATTCTTAGAAAACAGACTAACAAGAGCAGGAAGGAGAGCACCACGAAAAGTGGACAAGTCAGGAAGATTACGGAAGCGAGACTGACGAAAGGAATCAAAAGAGCTAATCAGGGAAACACCAGCGCGAGGAGTAGGCGAAGTGGCAAAGGAAAGGACAAAACCAAGAGGTTCAAGCTCATACTGAGAGAGTGAGACAGAAGACAGATTAGTAACACAGTCAGTGAGGGAGAATTTAGACCAAGGGCTAGCTGAGATGAGACGTTGAAGTTTATTCTGTAGTTTGGAAGAATTAATTTGTGCATTCAGGCGAGCAGTGTCAAAGGCAATGGTAGAGAGAAGGTTACAGAGATCCTGTGGTAGAGCCGCAAAGAGAGCACGTTGACGTTGACGGAAAGTAAAGAAGGCATCTTCAACCTGTGATTTAGTAGAAAGAATGAGCTGTTGAAGTAGGAGACGGGCATGATCAGGAAAGGGAGTGCCCAGTGGGTTGGTTTTCAGGAAGTGGGAGAAGGAAGGTGGCAGAACTTGTTCAGCAAGACAGTCACGTAGGAAGCGAAGCTGATTCTTACGACGCCGGGTAGCAATAAGAGCAGCCTCATAAGATCGAAAGAGGGGTTTAAAAGAGGGAAGAACATTAAAAAAGTTGGAGAGAATATGACGCTTAACTGCAGGGTCCATAAATAACAAAAAAGGCACACATGTATGAATGCACATGTATGAATACACATGTATGAATGGGGTTAGTTTGAAAGGTAGACAATAATATAATTAAGAGAGAATAAAGATGATGGATAAAGTGTACTGACCAGCTCACATCCTTCACATTGCATCTGGAAGTGTCGCTTAATGTAGGTCATCCCCAGGAACTGTTCCAGCACACACTGTAAACTGCTCTCACCGCCCTCATCCACCTGTAACAACAACAACCATTACTGCTCTCACCGCCCTCATCCACCTGTAACAACAACAACCATTACTGCTCTCACTGCCCTCATCCACCTGTAACAACAACCATTACTGATTTTTCTCTCACTGCCTCATCCAACTGTTACAACAACATTACTGAATTTCACTGCCCTCATTTTTCCACTGTAACAACAACAACCATTACTTGCTCTCATGCCCCTCATCCACTGTAACCTAAAAACCTTGTACTGCTCTCATGCCCTCATCCACCTGTACAACAACTACCATTTACTGCTCTCACCTGCCCTCATCCCCCTGTAAAATCAACAAACATTACTGCTATCTCTGCCTCATCCACCTGTAACAACAACAACCTTAATGCTCTCACTGCCCTCTTCACACTCTGTAACAACAACAACCACTACTTGCTCTCCCATTCTCATCCACCTGTAACAACAACAACACTACTGCTCTCACCATCCTCATACACACTTTAACAACAACCACCATTTCTGCTCTCACCAAACTCTTACAAACTGCACTATAACAACTATTACTGCTCTCACCACAATCATTCCACCTGTACAACACCCACTTCTGCTCTCTCCAACCTCATCCACACTGCAACAGTAATAACCATTACTGATCACACACCCTCGTCCAACCTGTAAACAACAACTACCATTATTGCTCTCACCTCCCTCTCCATTGTAACAACAACCATTACTGCTCTCACCCACCCTCTCCATCTGCAACACATCAACAAACAACCATTATTGCTTTCACCACCCTCGTCTGCCTTGCAACAAAAAAGCAAACCATTATTGCTTAACACCCTCATCCATCTGCAACATCATCAAACAAACAACACATTATTGCTTTCACCACCCTCATCACCTGCAACAGTTATTACCATGACTGCTCTCACCGCCCTCGTCCTCTGTAACAATAACAACCATTATTGCTCTCACCAACCCTCATCCACTTGTAACAACTCAACACATTATTGCTCTCAACCACCTTCATCCACCTGCAAACAACAACAGTTATGGGTAATGAGTCAAGGTAACTGGGTTCACCCTCAGACTGTAAACCTTTCCTAATAATCGAGGCTCAATAAAATTGGCTTATTAACTAAACAAACCAGGGATTATGTGGGTCTTGAACCCATGGCTTAGTGTGTCCTAAATCCCAGCAGTTGTAAGCACCATCGGGCGGCTGGCCAAGGTGGTGGATTCATCTGTAAAAAACTTACATCTGTGGTCACAGGGGTGGGGCCATGTTAAACCCTCTCTATGGTGAATATAAATATACTAGTTCAGTGAGTCTTAATGTAACCAGCTGGACCAGGCTTAACACACTGGCATAAACTTTTCCTGCATGGGTTCTTAACCCCATCAGTTCCCTGGTCTGTTGGCAAACCAGATTGTTTTACTGTTTTGTGACGTCACCTACACTTGGTAGCGAAACACTTTGCTATGGTTAGGTGAAAACTCTTCACTATGGTAATGAAAACTTCACCTATGGTTGTGAAAACACTACTATGGTAGTGAAACACTTCACTATGGTAGCCAGAACATCAATTGGTAGTGAAACACTTCACTATGGTAATTAATGAAACACTTTTCACTATGGTAATGAAAACACTCACTGGGTAATGGAAATACTTCACTTATGGTAATTGAAAACACTTCCATCTTTAGTAGTGAAACACGTCACTATAGTAGTGAAACATTCACTATGGTAGTGTTGAAATGGAAACCTTCACTATGGTAGTGACACACTTCACTATGGTAATGAAACACTTCACTATGGTAATGAAAGACTTCACTATGGTAATGAAACACTTCACTATGGTAGTGAAACACTTCACTATGGTAATGAAACACTTCACTATGGTAATGAAACACTTCACTTTTAGTATTGACCACACTTCACTATGGTAATGAAACACTTCACTATGGTAATGAAACACTTCACTATGGTAATGAAACACTTCACTATGGTAATGAAACACTTCACTATGGTAGTGACACACTTCACTATGGTAATGGAAACACTCACTATGGTAATGAAAGACCTTCACTATGGGTAATGAATCACTTACACCTATGGTAATGAAAACTTACTATGGTAATGAAACACTTAACTATGGTAGTGACACACTTCATATGGTAATAAAGACTTCTCTTGGTAATGAAAAATTCACTAGGTAATGAAACACTTACTATGGTAGTGAAACACTTCAATATGGTAATGAAACACTTACTACTATGGTAATGAAACACTTCTCTATGGTAATTGAAACACTTCACTTATGTTAGTGAAAACACTTCCACTATGTAATGAAACACTTCATATGGTAATGAAACACTTACTATGGTAGTGAAACACTTCACTATGGTAGTGAAAACATTCACTATGGTAATGAAACACTTTTCACTTTGGTAGTGAAACACTTCATATGGTCAGTGAAAACACTTCACTATGGGTAAAGGAAAACCACTTCACTATAGTAGTGAACACTTCCCTTTGGTAATGAACACACTTCACTATGGTATTCAAAACCACTTCACTATGTAGTGAAACACTTCACTATGGTAGTGAAACACTTACTATGGTAATGAAAACACTTCACTTTGGTAATGAAAAACACTTTCTATGGTAATGAAACACTTCACCCCCCCCCCCTCTATGGTAATGAAACACTTCATTATAGTAGTGAAAACACTTCACTATAGTACGTGATAAAACACTTCTCTAATAGTAGTGAAAAGTCAACTATGGTAGTGAAACACTTCACTATGGTAAGTGACAACACTTCAATATAGTAGTGAAACACTTCACTATGTAGTGAAAAACACTTCAACTATGGTAATGAAACACTTCACTATAGTAGTGAAACACTTCACTATGGTAGTGAAACAATTACACTCATGGTAGTGAAACACTTCACTTTGGTAATGAAAACACTTCACTTTGGTACTAAACACTTCACTATGGTATGAAACACTCCACTATGGTAAACTGAAACACTTCACTCATGGTAGTGAAACATTTCACTATGGTAATGAAACACTTAACTATAGTAAGTGAAACACTTCACTATAGTAGGTGAAAACACTTCACAACTATGGGGGAAATAGTGAAACACTTCACTATGGTAGTGAAAAACTTTCACTATGGTAGTGAAAACACTTTCAATATAGTAGTGGAAAACACTACATATGGTAATGGAAACACTTCACTATGGTAGTGAAACACTACACTATGGTAATGAAAACCACTTCAATATGGTTAGTGAAACACTTCACTTTGGTAATGAAACCACTTCACTATAGTAGTGAAACACTTCACTATTGGTAGTGATACACTACCACTATGGCTAATAATCACTTCATATGGTAGTGAAAACACTTCACTATGGTAGTGTAACACTTCACCTTGGTAATGAAACACTTCACTATGGTAATGAAACACTTCCACTTGGTAGTGAAAACACTTCACTATCGGTTGTGAAACATTCTCTATGGTAATGAAACACTTCACTATGGTAGTGAAAACTTCACTACGTAGTGACACATTTCAATATGGTAATGAAAACACTTCACTATGGTAATGTAAACAATGCACTATGGTAGTGAAACACTTCATATGGTAGTTGAAACACTTCACTATGGTTAATGAAACACTTCACTATGGTAATGCAACACTTCACTATGTTGTGAAAACACTTCACTATGGTAGTGAAACACTTCTCTATGGTTAATGAAACACTTCACTATGGTAGAGAAACATTCACTATAGTAGTGACAACATTTTCACTATGTAATGAAAACAACTTCACTATGGTAGTGAAACACTTCACTATAGTTGTGAAACACTACACTATGGTAATGAAACACTTACACTATGTAGTGAGTGAAACACTAACCTATGTAATGAAACACTTCACTATGGTAGTGAAACACTTCACTTTGGTAATGAAAACACTTCACTATAGTAGTGAAACACTTACACTTCTGGTAGTGAAACATACACTATGGTACAATGAAACAACTTCACTTGGTAGTGAAACACTTCACTATGGTAGTGAAAACACTGCACTATGTAATGAAATAACACTTCACTATGGTAATGAAACACTTCACTATGGTAGTGAAACACTTCACTATAGTAGTGACACATTTCACTATGGTAATGAAACACTTCACTATGGTAATGAAACACTTCACTATAGTAGTGACACACTTCACTATGGTAATGAGTATATATACACATAAAACATACACATACAACATATACAACATACACATACAACATAAACATACACATACAACAACATACACATACAACATACACATACAACATACACATACAACAAAATACACATACAAACATACACATACAACTTACACATTACAAAACAACATACACATACAACATACACATACAACAAAATACACCCATACAAACATACCACTTACACATACAACATCACATACAAAATACAACATACACATACATACACGTAACTACACATACACATACATAACATACACATACAATATATACATACAAACATACCCATACAATACACATCAATATTACATAACAACATACACATACAACATATACTACACATACACATTTTTTTTTTTACAACATACCCATACCAACAAATACAACATACACATACAACATATACATACAACAGCAACATATAAAACATATACATACAACATACCATACAACATATACATACAACATACACCATATACAACATACACATACAACATTACATACAACATACACATACAACAGCAACATACACATACACCAGCAACATATAACATACACAATAAACATTTATACATACAACATTACACATACAACATATTACATACAACATTACACATACAATATATACAAACAACATACCATAACATATTATACCATACAACATACACTACAACATATGCATACAAACAACATAAACATGCAC